CGGGGGAGCGTAATGCGATGAAAATTCTGATTTCATGGATTTTACTTATATGTAAGAACCAAGACCAGACTGAATATTAATATCACTCATTATATACAATGGCACTGAATAAATCGAAAAAACTTGTAGTTAGCAGCCTTAGGTGCCCGTGTGCAATGAACGCTAAAGCAGAATATTATAATTACGGCTTCCAAAGAAGTCTAATACCGATTCTGTGGCTTCTGACACCCTATGCCTCCAGAAAAGTCAACCGTGGCTACAGGAGAAGACAGCAGGGTTTCATAAAGGCATAAATATCTGACTAAGGATAATAAAGAGCGAATTCAGGCTGATTTGTGTGCACGAATATGCACCTGCCTGATGTTTCAGACTTGTCATTGCCCCTGTCGACACTTAATAATAATAATTTATATTTAGTATAAACGGGTAAGTTAACAAAAATGCATGCCATTTTTACGGACACAATCAGTTGTGTTACAAATTACAATCGGGAACTATAGTAAATCATTACTTTCTAAAAGTCTAAAATGTCTACTTGTTGTATATGCGATCAGAACGGGTTCTAATAAATTTTAATTTGTAAACCCTTCACTAAGGTCACCATCAAATTTGAGCGACAGACTTCGTTCTGTTTCCCGCTGATAATTATGGTCAACCAGCGGACAGTCTATATTTGGGTAATTACTATGCCCTCACGTGATTCAACGCTACTTCAGGAAGAAGTGGACGTCCTGGGAAACTGAAAAATGGTGTAAATAGCAATTATGGATAATGCATCATCGGAAGTACATTTACAAGATAAATACACGGAGGGGCTACAGAGTACTTGGAATGATAGTATACACTTGCAATGTTTAATGCTCATGATATTGGTGATACCATGGAAACTATGATATTTTCGACGAAAATATAGTTATTCCCAAACATGGGTGCTGTTGTTATGTTTTATCTTCTTCATCAAGACAACCAGATTTCAAGCGAGCGAAGAATGTGAATGAAAAGAGTAAATTCTAGCTTGATTAGAGGCCTAGTGAGTTGAGGTAACATAGAGTATAATAGTAAGTAGGTAAGTATATGAGTGACATCTCAGGGAGAAGTGGCTTGAAAGATTAGAACCTGTAGGATATGCTGACCTTGAAGATGTCCCACGAGTTTCTGTAGGGCCTATGGGGTAGCATCTTGACAAGAAGCTGAACATGCCTGTAGATGGTAGGAGTAAAGGCATATTTTTATACTCTAGATCTGTACAACTCTTATTTTTTGTTAAGAGTCCAAACTGATTCTTAATTCTCGAGCTGTCAAAAGTGCAAGTTGCATTGCTTTGAGCCCGTCCTAATCAAAGATTATGCGGCACAATAATAGCTTCCATGACTAGTGTTTCCCATTAGGTCACCAGACACATCGATACCAGAGGACATCCTTAGCGGTATCACCTTTATACATGCAAACATGTATATAAGTAGTTATTACAAACGACTAGGAAATTAAGCTTCCCTTGGAAATTTATAAAGTACAGAAGCAGTTAGTATTACAGCAACTAAGTTATTTCCTGTTTTGCAGAGTGATATGATTAGTGGAACAATTAGTGATGAAATTATGTAGAATGATCCTGAAGAAAACACTTGGTTAGCATAACTAGTTAGACATTGCAAAGTACCCATCAACTTATGTTATTGGATAGAAACTGCTAAGAAATGCTATAAAATTATACATTTCAGAAAAGTAAATAAGGAAACGTTGTTTTTGACTGAGTAAAGTCATTTTAACACAAAAAGTAACAGTGTATTATTAACTGTATACTGTTACTACTTTTCAGGAAACCATTTTTCGCAAATATGTCACGTATCCGTTTTGTCGCTTTGTGTGACAAAACTGCCTGCGTTGAACATAGTCATGAATTTCCTACCCGCTTGCAAGCATGTGGAACAGTCGTTCTGATAAACCGTGTAAAGGATACTTAAATGAGAAGAAGCTAGTCAATTTTTTCACCACAGTAGTTGAGGAGAAGTTTGGAGAAAATCTTGCATCAGACTATGAACGAGAAGTGAACACACACGTTCAACGGTTACTCAACATGTAAACGCACTACATCTGTGCTGCGTTTGAATAAAACTTTTGGTCTGACATACTTGTGATTCATTCAGCTTGCTTGTAGAAGAAGTACGGTATGCTGGGTGCTTACTCCATAGGTTTTGAACTTTTTACTACATTTAAGTGTAGTTTCATGCGGACACTGTTGATTCATGTCGGCTATTGCTATAGACAGTTTGTCTACACCCGTCAAGTTAAAGACTACCGCAAGAGAATGGAGAACTGCGAAGTACTCATATAGCTATATTTTACTCAAAATATCTGAAAACGTGTAAAATTAAGAAGTTGGTAAGTATCATACGTTTCCAAGATTCTCTTGTCTTCTTGTACGTATTCTTCATGCTATCCTGATTCAGGATCCACCGTAAAGCCGTTACCTCTTCAAGAACTACACAGTTAATAAAATGCCTATATATGCAGTGATATGCTTAGTAGAAAGTTGACTACATCCATTGAATGAACTTTTAGTGCAACAAAATGATCCATCGGGGACTCAGTCACTTCTTTACTGGCACAGTGAATTAAATATAAGTCATTCCTAAGAATCTGAAGGAGGTACATGATTAAATCTCCAAGCCATAAAATGAATCCACAGGGATATGCAGGAAAAGCCCTAACAAATTTGTTCAAAAGAAGCACATTACTGCTCACTGTTTACCCTGGCCTATCATCCATGAAAATTCGGGAAACATCTCAGAACAATTGAAATTCTTATAAGGCACCTTCAGCAACTTGTGTCGATCTTCGCTTCACTGTGAGAAAATGACACCATGAGGGGAAAAATATTTAAGTAATGTCGCGTAATCTGTTCTTATTCGTATGCATTTTAATGCCGGCTTACAAAGAGTGCTTTGACTCTATGAGACCATCGCAGTCCTACTAATCTTAATTTTGCTTTACGACTTCGTCTTCTACATACGGCTGAAGCAATAGGTATCCATCTGAAGGAGCCAAACATGCCTTCAGAAGAAATCTGTACAGCCATTTTACTTAACCTGGCCGTCGCTACATGAATGTATAAACCGGGCTGCTTCGCCCCTCTCCCTCTAAACCCTTAAAAATTATAATCGTCCAAATTATTTTATTATCTTTCTGACTACTTCATCCTTAGTTACAAGTTATCATTGTACAAATTGCTTTATTTTCTCTAACAATCTGTCAGGTAATCAACTTGAGCATATGCTTATTCCTTAATTACTCTTCATTTTATCGAAAATTATGCATTACGTAATCCATGTGCTGCAGCCATTTCTACCTTTTAATTGTGTGTATTAATTTTCTTCGTTAATTATCACTCCATTGACATGGTGATACTGACTAATTATTGTTGACAAACATATCGCCACTTCATTGGTAAATTTTTGTGTATTGTGATATGACACTAGTAACTAGTGTGATGTGTCTAGTCCTCTCTCTGGTGCAGACTGAATTGTATCAGTCAGGTTGTGATGTGGCCACCATTCTAGGTAGCTCACCATCACGGTGCACATTGATTTGATGATATTAAATGGTTGGAGGCAATCGGCGGGAAGCCTTTGTCCTAGGTTTCGTGCTAGTCCCTCGTTGTGTATTGTGGTGAAAATGCTATAAATACATACATATTAGATTAGAGCCATGGATGAGGGTATAACTGAAAGGTAAATATTTCTCCACCCAATCCTTTTTCTCTCTAAATTTCTAAATTGGGATTTTTTCTATTAAAAAAACTGAACAATTCTTTATATCGCCAACCCTCATCTGAAAACTGTGCATTCTTCCTCATTCTATGGTTATGGCACCATTGTTTTCGTAGTTTTCTGTAGAACACGGATAATTTCTTACTGAGTTTGTCTAAACTACAGTGATTCGGAGGCAGCAACATCTGAAGCATATCGCCAGTAGCCCTATTCTGCCTATAAAATGTTTACATACTGATTATTCACTAGAACGTGTGATCACGATAATCGTCTTTATCAACAGTCTGCGCCTAAGTCGTATGTCACGCAAACGTTTTTCATGCTTGTCACTGAGGAAACGTTGAGTGGACTGTGGAAGATAGTTGGCACATATAGAGGATAGTAGTTGTGGGAACTGGAGGAACGTTTATTTCCACTTTTCCAAAGTGAAAATCCAGAATCATTCATTCCTCATAACTTAACGATTGGCTACAGTCACTTCATGACCTAAAAATTAGAGGCTTCTCAAAAATATGAAGCCTTTAAAGATTCCAGACACATTAAACGTCCCATTTATGCATGATTTCTATTAATGCATGCCCTTTAAATGATAACTCCACTGACATATCAAAACTTTTAGGCAACGAAATATATGAAAAAGTTATTGCCTCGACTAAAGAAACTTCAAACGAATTCCATATACCCATTTTCACCAAATTGAACGACAATGTCATCAAGATGATATCCCTAGCACGAAGATAGCATTTATCATCCCTCGTTTAGCTTACATAAAATATAAAGGCAGCTTATCTTGTGTACTTCATATGGACCATCACCACTTTCTTTAAGAAGGAGGTGAAGACCTTCGGAAGAGTACACAAAGCGGTCTTCGGGCTCTTGAAAGTGATATGACATCAGCGTATTAAGGAAATATTTAGGAGGAGGGAATGATTTTGTTATTTATTAAATGACAACTTGAATGTTTTTCTCTTCACAGGTTTCCTTCGTTACACGAGACTCATGAAAAGATGTTGCAAGGAGTTATTTAAGCTGCAGCTAAATAAGTTGTCAAGGGAATTTATATAATCGTAAAGCGTAGTTAACAACTGCAAAGTACTACTGGGACTGGTATTATTGCCTCCCCTCGTGAATTCTGTCAAAGAGGAACTGAATATACACTAAAAGAATAACCACATACCACCTGAAGCCTACTATAGTTTAGTCCCGAAAACTTATGAAAAATCTAACATTGGAATTTGAATTGACGCGAAGCGCGTGATTTACTTCTCTGCCAACTTACAATGGATTTTTACGATCATAGTTATGAAGAAAACAAGCTGTAAGTATTCTAGCCAGTGAAATTAACTCTTGCTTGTTTTATCAGTACTTCCTTAATTTCTATAGCGAAATGCGTGTACAATCAGGAAAACTGATACGCATCTGCATCAAATGAGCTTTAGATGAATTTTTAATGACATACTAATTCGCCCAAAGGAGTAACTCTATGATAGTTGGTGTGTAGAGGACACAAAAATTATGCATGTACGGGACTTATACGGTTTGATATGGGTGAATAGACTTGTCCCACCAGTATATATATATATATGTATATGTATATATATATATATATATATATATATATATATATAGGAAGCATGAGCTCCTATTAAATTTTGTGGTTAAATATGTGGGTTGTCATATTGTAGAAGCAGTTATTTTCGAGCTTTGAAGGGAAGCTGCGAGAAAAGACGTGTTCAACTGTCAGTTGATACGATCTTAAAGCCCTCACTTAGTGTGTACAAGCCGATGGAAGCGAGACAACCTCACCGTTACTGAAAATTCGAAAGTTTGAAGTCGTATATTCCACTTTCAACTGAAGGATATGAGGGAAATTAAAAGGTCCAGAAACTAACTAGCAATAATCGATGAATTCTTTGTTCGTTTCAGCTTAGCTGTGATCACCGTACATATCCGTTCATGATGGTTCTCTGATTTTTTCTCAAACTCTGTATATATGGAGTGGCAACTTGGTCTTCTGCAGTTTTGTGCAATGTTCTATGTTCAAAACTAGGCCACTTAGGTACGAAGTCTTATGTGGATTTAAGATATTTCTGTGAGACCACTTTAGGTCGTCAGTTACTATACTTATTCGTATGCGAATATGTGATTCTGGTTTCCGTTGTCAAAAAACGAGTATTGAAGCACAGTCAGAGCCAGACTCTACAATATGCGTTTATTCAGTCATCTTTCGGGAGGTCCTGAAACTTATACGTACTCATCGCTTTATGGCGCCATAGTTCATATTAAAGTAATTTAATCTGTTATAGTGATAAGTGTATGTAGGTCACACCGAACCACTGTCTTCCTAAATGATCAATATTGGTTAGACCCAGGGATGTTGAGACCAACACGTGCCGTCACTGAAATTCGTTCTAAAGCCCATATGTGGATTGAGATTACCTGGCTAAGATCATTATTCTGAGAATTAATATTTGGAGATATAGCACAAATTGTCCATAGTGGCCTATGTGTTCACTTATTATGTTTTAGGTTCCATAATTCTCTGCTAGTCGCTTCTCCCATCACACCCGTGTCATCAAGTTCCTTTTCATATTTTGTATGCTTTGTCATATTTATCAATATGAACTGATGGCCTTTTGTCCCTAGTTCTACGTTGATTCATCTGTCAGTCAGTTCTGTGTAATACAAACACATACCCACTCTTAGCAACTACTAGACTATCCAGTAGTTTTCATATCTCTCCAATAGAATATTCTGTCATAGCATAAAATTAACATTTGAACATTACTTTTATTTTTGTTTTAAAAATTACCACTTGATCGTATACTGATGTGTAGCGAATTACACTCTGACTTTCTAGTGGGATGACAGTCACAAGTGGTTGTGTGAAACTGAAAAAAGATGCTCAAAACCTAGTTGGAATCAGTATTGGAGGTGGTGCCCCATACTGCCCATGTCTTTATGTTGTTCAAATATTTGACTCTACACCTGCCTCTGAAGATGGCAGTCTGCAAGCTGGGGATGAAATCACTGGTGTTAATGGAATGTCTGTCAAAGGCAAAACTAAAGTGGAGGCTGCTCGACTTATCCAGAGCTTTAAAGTAAGTATCGGTTTAATTAAATTTGTGATTACATTGTCGTATTGTATTCTGGGTCTATGAATAGACTACTTTACTGTATGTGATTAACTTTGAGAATAAGTGTTGTCGCAGCATATCAAACACACTGTCATATAAGTAGCATCTAATTGCGCATCTTACATCAAATAAGTATATATTCTGCCTATAACGTAAGTCTTGTGAAGGTTATTTGCTTACTGCATATTAATATCGTTATAACGTAGTTCTCAATCGTGACTGCGACTTTGTCGTGATGACTGAGTTTGTCTTCTTTATTGGTTCAACTCTGTGATATCAGCAAAGTTGATAGTTTTTCCCTCAGTACCGGTAAAGTTGAAGACACCCAATCCTATGTTAAGTTGTAAGGTTCACTGAGCTTGATCAAAAGCGTCTAACACTTTCAGAAGTTTCAAGTTTGATACCAGTTGGCGAATCATTGGAAACGAGGAAGTATTAGACAGCTGTTTCTCCTTATCTTGGGACTTATCGACACTACGTACCCACCGGGTTCCGAACCCATGACCTTCCGGTTACAATGCAAGCTCGTAGATCATTCAGCTACTGGGACTCGACTCAATGGCCAATGAATTCTAACTTCTACCAATTTGTGATTTTGGCGCTACCACCAGCCCATGTCATCAGCGAGTATTTGTCCTCACTCCCGACCGGGTGGTATGGCCAGTGTTCCTCTGGCCGATATTAGTCCGTGATCAAACTTGAAACAAATCAAATCCCTACAAACAAACTTTCAGTAGTATTGGAACAAAGGGTTATTAAGGTCAGTCATGAAACATGAGACACATGCTTTAACCATCACATATGTAAATTAAAGGAAAGTCTATTAATATCACGCAGCCAGGTGTACCTTGTGAGCCTACCTCTCTACCTAACTCAACTAGTTCTTAGCTTAGTTTTCCCTACCTTGATAGTGTGACTTCCAGTTTCACATTTACATAATAGTAAAAAAGTTATGGCAATAAATTTTGAAGTTATTTTTCATAAGTAGAAACGTAAACACTGGAATACATGAGAAAGATATATTGTTACAATTACCAATCTCCTGACTTAAATTCATAACCTGCAGCATCTTTAGGTTTAGACATTTGCATTAACCAATCTGCTAGGGAGGTGTATCTAGTACTGTAGGATAAGGTGAATCATTGGTTCATGGATTTTAACAGAATGTCCCCAAAGTAAAGTTTTGATGTGGGTGTAACGATTCTAAACGCCTACTTAACACCCAAATTTTATTCCAGGTCTTCAGAGAAAGCTGAATTTTTTCACTGTCTTCCCAGCATAATTATGTCGTCTACCTGCTATAGATCTATGAGACGGCTTCTTTGTAGTAATTAAAGTAGAATTGAATGAAAACGTTTTCAATATGGTTGAGTAAGACTAGTGGTATTAAGCATCTGTGAACATAACACTCGTGATGTAAAGTAGTTTCTCTTCATAAGTTTTTACTTAGAGTGAATACATTCCTCAAATATTTCCGCTGCAGGAATACGAAGTAGGTTAGGTCGAAGTAATACACCTCAGAGCTGATATCTACACTTATCTGTTTTAGTTTATCAAACCTGGACTAATGAAGTTTTGTATCTAGGTTTCTGTTATTTCAGTTATTTCGATTGATGAGTTTGTACACTGTTCATGTATGGTGTATTTCTTGAGTCGACTGTTTGCTTTGTGAAGTTGGTTTTAATTTCTAAGACAACGTGCATTTCATATTGTTTGGGTTTAACTTCTATCGCTTAATTTGTAAATCTTATGTAAATACTTGGTTTCCTATAATTTCAATTGCAGGATGAAGTAATAATTAATTATAACAAGCTGCATGCGGATCCAAAACAAGGAAAAACGTTAGATTTAAGTAATCTTCATTTTCTTCATTTGAATAATTGCTTTACAATATTTTAGTTCTGAAGAAGGTTAAGCATCGTATTGTTGAAACGATGGAATCTAGTACAGCTGATGCTCTAGGCTTAAGTCGAGCTATTCTTGTCAATGGTTAGTTAAATGTCTGCCTTTTTTACCAGAACAATAATTATTATTTGTAGATGGTATGGTGAAAAAGTTGGAGGAGTTAAATAAAACATCGAATGCATTTTCTGGCATGGTTAATCATGCGAAAAATCTTTTGCGTGCAATCTATGAGCTGTCTCGTGTGTATGCTGGTAAGATATTTTAGCAAAACCAATGTGCCTTTTCTTATGTCAATTTTCCTTAGGTTTACTGATTATGTGATTATTTCTCATTCGATATTCAAATGTATTATAAATTTTTATTCGATTGAGGCATCCATATATCTCCTCCAATTGGATACAAGTTTTATAACTTAATATTCTTACCGTCTGCCATGTGGTTTAACGACTAACCTCAATTTCATACACACTACTGCAAGTTACGTCTATTGATTGAGAGTTAGTAATATTGCCCAGCTGTTCAAGCATGAGTGTTTCAATTTGTATCTGAATGTGTGGTCCACTGGGTGTAACTTAAATTCTTAAGCGACTTTACTTTGACGTGAACAAATATGTAGTTAGAATTATTTTTCCCTACATAATGGGTAAAGACAAACTTTTATAAAGTTGACTAAGTTGCAACTTTTTACCACATATAGCCTATCTTTACGTACTTTAGTTTGTGTTTAACTGATGGTTGACGCTTACAAGTGATAATCCTCTTTTTCCTTCACTTCAAAAGTGTTGTTTTGAATTAGGTAGCATGGGCAAAGCTAATTATTTGGTACTCTGTAGCAGTTAACTCTTGAAATCTCAGTATGATTTCAGTGGATAACAAGTAATGTTTGTATTATATGATAATATTTAATAAAGGGAGACATATTTAGCCTTCCTTAAAAGTCTAGATAGATCATTCATTGACTGACTAAAGTGATCTTTGAAGATGTGATGTTTATTCAGGCACAGAAGTAGTTGTGTTCATTCAAAGGGTTAGTGGATAACAGTCTGTCGTTTAAAAGGACGGGTAAACTACCGATATTCACTGAGATAAAGGCACATTTAGATGATAAATCCTATACGTAACGAATTGTGTTACATATATCACTGCCAGCCATTAATGTCTTATTTATTATTCCCTTGCGTTCTGAGTGGAACATAGGGCTTCAGCAACACATCTCCATTTCTTCCTGTCCTTTACGGTGTCTTTTAGCTGGTTACACGAAATACCGTAAGCTTTCGTTTCCTCTTCACATGATCTCCTCCATGTCACCCTCGAACATTTGATCATAAGAGAAACTAAAAGCAAGTTGGGGTAACACCATTAGAAAAAAACTTCTTTCTGTGAGCAGCTGTAAGTTCATTTGGTGGCAGCTAACAAAAATAGGGAAAAGAGAACTAATTAGAGCAGCAGAATATTGAAGTCATCAAGATGAGCAACCTAAGTAAAGACTTGGTCGAATTAATAGTGTCACAACCTCTGGAAGAAATTTTGAAAGAAGGCGTCTATCCTGTAAACTAGTTAAATGCCAATTATACAAGAATGTAACACTATGGTAGGGTATAATTCTATAATAAATCTCCTTATCTAATGTAAAATATTAGGTTGCATTCTTACCTGTTAATGACATTCTAACAGCACTTTGTGGCTCATATGAAGGTCAGTAGGTTTTGCTCAAAACGCCATCACTAAATTATACTGTATCACTCTGCTATATCAAACGTATTATCTAACGAAGTATTTGACTAATAAATAATATCAATCTTCAAATTTTTTCTCTTTTCTGTTTGTTATAATGTTCGTTTGAAATTATGTAATCCTATGAGTTGGTTTTCGGTAACTGTAATGTCATTTTATTTTGTATCTTGTCAATTATCAAGGTCGCTTCCCTACCTGTTTTTCATATCTCTAATCAATCAATATTTTGCTTTATTTACCAAGTACTTGGCGACACTTTTTCTGAAATTGGTGTTAAAGAGCCTATGGCATGTACAAGTGAGGCATTCACCCAGTTCGGTACAATTCATCGAAGCATGGAACGTTTTTCAATAGAAATGTTAAAAAAGATAAAACCGGTATGTTGTTCAAATTCCACTTACTAATATATTATTAATTTTTCTGTTTAACCACTTAATTGTTGTGTAAATTCTCTGCTGTCTGTGATTTTCACTTTCTTTCCTGTACATGTCGTACCAGCTTGTCCGAAAGCACTTTAATTGAACTAATCTATAGGGTTTGTTATTGACAGTTGGTCGTTCGGTCTTGTATGTGTGTGTTCTAAACTCATTCATTGCGCCCTGATCTTTAAGTCATAGTCACTAATGCAATCTTTATAATGGAAGCTATAACATCATGAGTAGTAAGATTGATCCTTTTTAAATTATTGACTGTTTAACGTAGTCAAGTATTTTCTTGACACATAACTAACGATTTCATCACGCACGTTATTACTTCAATCCACTTTAAACGTTATTCTACCGTTAAATCATTTTGCAGTGCATCTTCTTGGGTCTTTTTTGGTGTATCAAGGGTACAGGTGTTTTTAAGAACAAACTGTCAATTAAAATTGACACAAAAGGTCGTTTCATATGTATTAATAGGGAATTAGAAAAACTTGTTTTCTTAAAGAGAGTAGATTTATAAAGATTGACATACTATGAAAATTTCTGTGTAGGCACATATTTCAGGTAATCTCAGGAACAGCCACATAACAATTCATATACTTCTGAATGTTGACTGCCACATGGTACTACCAGAGTAATTGTTTATTTCACCAAATTTATTCGATTTAGTAATTGTGAAATCTCAAATTTCTTTCATGAGTTTTTTCTTTTACTGTCACTTTAGAAGTCTCCAGTCTGTGTGCAGTTCTCATGCATGGGACTACCACCGTAGTCTGACGAAATTGCAATACGTGGTATAAATACATGTCGACCACTAAGCTTTCTTTAGTAGGGGAGGTAGATAGGTGGATGTTTCCGACTCACACAATATCCACACAAGTAGTGTGCACTATTGTTGCTGTCATCTCACCAACGTCAGAATTCATCCCATAGAAATTTTTCGTTTCATTTGCTCTCACAATTTGATCTTCACCAACGCCTAATGTATAAGCAAACATTGTGTAACCTTACAACTAACATCATACCAATAGTAAATCGAGGCCTAAAGTCATACTGAATCAGGATACGCTTAGTAAACATGAACGTGAAAAGAAGTCAGTAGTCAGATGTGCTGGTAAATGTATAGTAATATCACTGTATTGGAAGTTTTATATTACTGAAAACTCATCGCTGAAATCGACCTGCCTATTTAATCATATATGGAGTTGATTCAGTCGATAGAATACTTAGCTGAAGGCTGAAAGTGGCATTTCTATAACTCCTAGCTACTTGCCAACTTAGCCACAGTTCTAATGAACCTAAAACTTTGGTGTCGAAACCTGGAGTTCCAATAATTAGTATTGTTATTTTGGCAAAATTGGTACAATGTAGGCACCAAGTGATGCGCCAAACAAAAAAACACAACAACAATGGAACAAAATATAGGGAAAGCACACAAAATGATTGATGAAGAAGATTATAAAAAGCAGACACACATAATAATCGAGAGGATTTAAGAGACGTTCAGTAACTCATGTTATTTTCGAACGGAATTGCAGCATGTTCGCCACTAATTACGATCCTCGTTCATACCTAGTGAAGTTAGGAGTCACTGATTCCGGTAATCTCTCGGATTTTGACCAGCGAGACGTGATGCACCAACCGATGCCAATGTAGAACAACTATCCTTCACCCGACAAAACCACACCATGGGCCAAGCATTTCTTTACTTTTCCCTCAATAAACTGTACATTATGACAGCCGGTGTGTGACGTTCGTAGCGCATATCCAAGCTATACTGAAGTCGGTGTTTGTAGATGACAACTTATTTAAAGACGGCCTCCACCGTGTATAAACACATTGCCGGACCTCAAAATAACACATATATTAACTTACAACATTATGATGCCACCGAATGTAAGCAATTCTACAGAGACAATGGAGTCGTCATACATCCTCAGCTCAAAAACCAGGTTTCACAGACGTAGAGCAAGCCTGCAACGCAGTGATGCATTGTGGACCTGCCCTCTGACTACTGAGACAACGTTCTGACTGCACTAGAAGTGACCGAGTCTGGTGTTTGTATCCTGGCCTTCACTACACGGCTGGAAATCTCATGCACCATACCTCTGGCAGCACTCACACAAGCTACTATATATTTGAACTTACCCACTACTTCTCACAGTTCACCTACAAGCGTGAGTGCGGGTAAGCCTCTTGATAACCTTGCAACAATGCTTTACACTTAGACGAAGCCATGCACACACAGTAAGTGCATACATTGGTCAGCGACAGATTGAGTGTGATTTGGGAAGTCTGAATGTTAACGCTGAGTAAGACGATATCGTCTGCCTAATCAGAGTCGAAAAGTCTTTCTTCAAGCAGCAGATCTGCACCACAACGCACATTCTTTAAAGATCTCTACATAATTTCATCGATTGCAAAGTTAGGGAAAAAGGTGGAACAAGGCAACACTGTATAGTCTCACTGTCAGCTTACGAGAATGCTGATGGCTGGCTGGATTCAACATAGAACTTGCCACCGAAGTGCAGCAGTTCGAGTTGCCACGTTCCAAATAGCACACAAAGGTAGACAAGAAGATGGGTGAAGAGAATCAATAGAGTTTTGACACGTATAAGAGTGAAACAGAATGAGTAATGGTAGAAAGGAATATGAAAGATTACAGAGACTGAATACATCTGCGCCATTGACAACAATTTTGAGCCATGTCACCTATTGTCTCCAGCCATTGATTCTTAGAGTCCCGAGGGCCCCAGCCCGGAAGTCTGCATTTCTCTACCTGACTCAGTTTAACTGTCAGGGATTTCATGGATTTATGCCATGTTTTTGTTTGGCCACCGCTTACTCTTTTCCAACGTGCACCTATATCAGCTAGTAACGGCCGTCGGGGGAGGCGATGGTTAGGCATGCACAGCACGTGACCTAGCCATCTCAATCTATGTAACTTTATAGCCTCTTCGATTGATTTTCCCTCTTTGCCCAACACTACGCCTAACGTCAACATTACTTACCTTATTATACCACCTAACGTGAGAAAGAGATTGTAAACATCTGTGGTCAAAAACAAACAACCTTTTCATGTCTTCAACTCGTATTGGCCATGTTTCAGAGCCATAGAGAAGGACGGAGCGAACTGCTGAGCAGTACACACGTCCCTTGGTTGATAGCCGGATGGCACGCCTACTCCAGAGATGGTGTAAGTTAGCGAAAGCAGCCTGAGCTTTTTGGATCCGTGCTGAGATTTCGTCACCAATCAATCCGTTGGTGCTGATACAACTTCCCAGATAGGTGAAGTGGTCAACATGTTCTATCACTTCACTCCCTATCACTAAGCTAGGAGTTGACGTAGTCCAGTCCTGTAGCAGCATCTTACATTTTACAGGGGCGAATCGCATGCCAAACATACGAAGATTGCTGCTCAAGGTGTTCAGAAGACTCTGCATTTTGTCAGCGTCCTCTCCTAACAGGACTATGTCGTCTGCGTATTCTAAGTCTATAAGACTATTCCCTGGTAACAAGTCGATTCCTAAGTCGTTAAGTTCAGTTAGGGATACTTCCATTAGCATATCTATGATGAAGTTAGATAGAAATGGGGAAAGTGAACATCCTTGACGGACACCACTGGTTGTTATCAATTCAGGTGACAATTCCCCATAAGCCCTTACACAGCTACGTGAGTTTGAGTAGAGTGCCTTGATTAGTGCAATGTACTTTCTTGGCACTCCCTTCACAGTCAGACATTGCCATAGTACCTCTCGATCCACGGAGTCGAAGGCCACCTTCAAGTCAAGAAATATGGTAATTGTTGGACGCCTAAAAGTGTGTCTATGTTCTAGGATCTGTCGGAGAGTGCAGATATGATCTATGCACCCTCTACCTGGCCTAAAGCCTGATTGATTTTCCCTCGTTTGTTCCTCCCGAGTTCGGTTTAGTCTGTGCATGATTACTGAGCCTAGGATTTTAGAGACTATGTTCGTCAGGCTGATTCCTCTATGATTATCACATGAGGACTTGTCTCCCTTCTTGAATATTGATATAATAAGTGACTTACCCCAATCTGATGGAACCGTCTCTGATTCCCAGACGTTACCTAGTACCTTAGTTAAACTATATACCAGTATGTCACCCCCATATTTAAACACCGGAATAATTTCGTCGGGTCCTGCCGCTTTGCCTCGTTTCAAATTACAGATTGCTTTGGTGACCTCACTTACAGACGGCGGACCAGTGTCTATGTCCCATTCGGGTGTGTGTTGGATGGCGGGGAGGCTCAGTGTGGCTGTAGGCAAGTTAAATTGTTCCTCAAAGTGTTCTTTCCAGCGTTCGAGGCGTCTATCCTGAGAGCTAATTAATGAGCCATTTTTCTCAGAAATAGTCTCACTTATGATATGCCTTCTCCCACCCGTTTCCCTGATGAGTCTAAAGAGTTGCCTAGTGTTGCCTATCGCCGATGCTTTTTCCATCTCTTTCGCCTGTCACCCACCACTGTTCACAGTCCTTGCGGAGACTTTTCATAAGTTTCCTTTTGTGCAGCTTTCGCTCCTCATTGAATTCGGAGCTCGCCTGAATAAGTCCTCTAGCATCTATCAGTTCGGATGAAGCAGTCGAAATCCAATGGTTTTTACTCACTTTTGGATTTATCTTATTCACAGCTTTTACAGCTGTATCTATGGCTGACTGAATATTCTTCCAGGCTTCTTCAGGGTGAGCGCAGATGTCGAACTCAGATATGTGTTTCGCTAGTTCTTCATCAAATAGGGACTTAGTTTCCCGATCGAGCTGGGGACGTGATGGGTTTACTGCTAGCTGTTTCCTACGCTCATTCAGTCGTAAGCACACACGAGCGCGGACCAGTGCGTGATCGGTATCTACACACGTGTTCCAGAAGGAGCGACAATCTCCTACCGACCCACGCCAACGATAGCTTATTGCTATGTGGTCTATTTGTGTCCAGCGTTGGTTTGATGATGGGGGTCGCCTGGTCAAACAGTGTCTCTCCTTGTGTTTGAAGTTAGTGCTTACAAGAAAAAATGATTATCTGAACAGAACTGTAGGAGACGGTCACCGTTGTCGGTTCGGTGGCACGGAATTCCGTATGTGCCACTACATGTGACGGGGTTGTAGCAACTGAAGAATAGTGAACATGTGATCACTGTGACGAAGGCGTAAGCGAAACACTTCCTGCTTTCGCAAACCAGCTTTTCAAGCCTGTTACACAACCTGAGAAGCAATACAGAAGTCAATATTTTAGACGCCACTCGTATTAGACTGATACCCCAATGATCGTCACATACCCTATTTAGGTAGGACCTTTCAAACGTATTCACTATAATAGCTTCATTCCACATTGATGAAACATTCTCACTTTCCAAAACAATCCAACCAATTCCCTGATTAGAGTCTCACCATCATCTCCATAAGGAGTCCGGGATGAGTTATCTGGGCCGGAGCCCCGTTTAGATCTCTCCTTCGATGGTTGGATCGGTATGCACTGTGATTTATGATAGGTTCAGGTGGTATGGATGAGCTAAATTGCTTCTCAAGTAGTTCTGCCTACAGTCCCAAGCGTCTTGGGTTTCAATCGGCGTACTATTTGCCGCACAAACAATCTCATTGGCATTATGCGTCTATCTGCCGGTGGCTCGAGTGGGCTGGAACAGCTTCCAACAATTACCGGATATCGCCGATGATTCCATGTGACACGAACATTGCGACCACCGGGTGTCGTGGTGCTTACACAATCACAATCTACGTAAGAGCCTTAGTCAGGCTGTTGCACTCACTTTTCTTCTGAATGGACAGAAGAGCGTTGGGAAGTTGCGAGGAATTCACAGAAACCCAGCGATTTTAGCGATACGATCTTCTAAGCTGCAAGTGGCTTTGTTGACCATTTTCATGCTGTTTTGTAAATCCAGTCAACATTATTCACCTGTACTATTCGGAAGGTTAGTGGTTAGGCTTGAGTATAGCACGATTTGATAATTGGCTGTTATACAGTGTGCAATCTGCTTACACCTACTGGTTAAGCACAACGTTTATCATCACCTCAAAGTCGCAAGATAAACCTAGCACACACTGGCATGATCACAATTCAGACGAGCGTTCCCGAAGGAACCAGAGCCTTGTATGCACCCATGCAATCAGCAGCTGATACCTATATAACCTATTTGAGTGGAGAAAGGTAAACACTAGGCAGCACTACGGCGACAGCTCTGTGGTTCCAAAGACTGGAAATACTGAAATGTGATAAGATGACAGTGGGATAAATGCCTCCTCTAACACTGGAGGTGTGACTCATCAACTAAGAAGTTGTACACTGAAAACTCTGCTCCTTAATGGAATTATCTGGTCAGATATTGTGATCCATTAATGATTGCCAACAAAATACAAACTACCGATATGAAATCGGAACTGAGATGATTGCAGAGAGCAGAGCGAACATGCAGGAATATTTATCATTGTAATCGACAAGCATGAATGGGATAGAATAACTAAATCAGAATTTAAACTTCGAAGACCATTAGGAATGAATTTATTCATGCTACTGTGAACGATTTTGGGTGACTTCCCAAATATGTAGCTATGGCGTATTGCTTCATACACTCGACTTCCAACATACTACACCGGCTGAGAACACACTCCACTTAACTAACTTCAGACAGCTGGATAATAAAATTACATACTATGATGAAACCAGTTAGCTTGTATGTTACTGGTATCAAAATGTGAATCAGTGGATAGCTCCACTTATTGATGCATTAAACGAGAACGAAAATATCAACAGTATTATTGGGTGTCCCTGAGTTCCTTTCCGGCAGTAGATCACTTCCTGAGTCGATCATCCACCTCCTCAAAAATCAAATTAAGGTTGTGTGAATAAACGTCCCTAGTAGACATTAATAGTTGTTGCAGCTTCGGATCGCAACTCCCTATATCTTCGACCAGAATGATTCGATTAGCGTGGCACATCTCTCCAGCACTCTGGTAAAAAACACCTCTAGACCAGTTATGACGACAGCCGTCGTATACTGACACATATTTGACCGTTCAAGAACCTACTGTACGGTGAATGTTTGTTGATCGACTGCCTTTTGCCGTCGGATTTATTGTCCCAGAGCTACACTTGATCTTCGAATCTGCATACACCGGATTAAGTTAGTCACCATATGCTACATAAACGTATTCCCTTGCTGTACCTTATAAACCGTCATGAATAACAATGTGCAGTGAAGTTATTAAGGTCACGTCTTTCTTTGAGGTTTTTGAACATATTAGTCGTTTGTGAGCTTATCTCTCTTTAACGCCTTATTAAATGTAAGCGTATTTGCTTGTTATTCTTGCCGAAATTTATGGCTGATGCGTGATTGTTACTATAACTGTAATTGTATTTGATTGTTTTCGATCAAGATATTCTATATTGATGATGTTGTTTGTTACTATTCCTTGAAATGGCGCACATCAGATAGTTTTCTTTCATTATAGTAGCATGCACTTATGGTGTAGTACGTCATTGCCCCCTCCCCTCCCATATGTTATGACTTCTAAATTGGGGAAGTCGAATCAATTTAGTTTGAACTATCCAAATATTTATTGTTATGTGGTTTTGTAGAAGTGCTTTTTCATAATAGTGTGTGGGTGGGTGCATTAATAAGCAACTGCTTGTCACTTATTGAATTCACGTGGCAAAGTCATTTAATTACAATCATCTATGATGAAAATAATCTTACGTTTGCACTGCTAAACGTACTATTTATTTTCTGATTTCTATTGTCTCTCTTCCTGTGACGAAAATGATTAACAGAACATTACTGATGTTACCATCCTACAGGTCTCGAAGCAAATAAAGTAAGGCTGCAACTAAATACAGTACGCTTTTCTCACTAAAGCGTTTCCAAAGTATCTTCAAAACAGTGCAAATAAACAGTTAATAAAATGACACTATTCGACTTATTGATTCTTTTGCTGTTTTGTGTGTATTTCTATTCCTTCCGTATTTCTAACTTTTCGTTTGTACGCTTTACACATAGATGATTACGGACTTAAACACATTTCTGCGCAAAGCTGTTCCTGACACTAAATTAACAATTAAGAAATACTTGGACGTTAAATTTGAATACTTGGTAAGCTGAAAATCCGGTTGATTCCTGTTAATATGGTATGCATATTTTACCACTTACCTAACGGTTATTTCAGGATTATTTTGCTTTTCTTTTATTTATTTAAAAAAAATTTTATTATAGCTTGATTTCGCACAGTATTTTTGGTACAAGTATGAAATTTTCAGCATGCGATATCGGTAGCCCAAATTTAGCAGGCCGACCATAGATATCAGGTGTGCGTCGGCGGGGGATCGAACCTCGGACCATGTGCATGGTCGGCGAGAGTCCTAACCGCTGTGCCACCGACGCACACACGCATGTCCGAAGCAAAAAATATATTGATTGGTCTACTGAAATTGCTTATCTGTCAACTTCACTTATTGCTTATTAAGATAAGAAAAATAAATTAACACATAAACTGGCGGCTAATCAACTCACTTAGGTGCTTTTAAAGAGCCGGTTTTGTTAACCAGTAAAACACATCTGTATTTTATTTTTGTGGAACAGTAGTCTTTATTCCGTTGGCCTAACAGTAGGAGACGTAGCAGTTAATGATGTTTGATTGTGAAGAGGAAGTGTTGGTCTTTGAAATTTTTAAAATTATTTATCTTCTTGGTCTTTTATAATTAGTATGTGCATCTGCAACTTATTTGTATATGCCCAATTGAAGTATGGCTATTTGATCTGTTGCACTTTTGTGCAAAGTTCTACGTTGAAAACTTTTAACTACTAAAACAAACCTCCCATCAACATATGGGAATTTCGAGACGCAGATGGTATAGTTAGCTTTAGCAATGTGCGTACATACAGTTATGTGAAGATATGGCTCATTGGGATAATAAACACTCCACTTTTAGTTAATGGTTCCCGTATTCGAAGCCACACACTTCGACCTACGCAACTGGGTAGTGAAAAATCGACTGAATTATCAATGTAGAATATTTTTCACAAGAGTTCATCAGTCCAAGTTGCGATACTTGCAAAAAGCACACAAAAGAATGCAAATAAGTGTAATTAAACCAATTAGACTATTATATATTACGAAGTGAAGAAAAGTTTGATGAAGACTAACGATAATTTAATTTAATAATAACGTCTATATAATTTCCGTATAGATCCAACTTCCCTGCATGAGCATTGAAAACCCCTGCTAAGATGAATATACCTGAACACTTTGCTTTCAGTATCCAGCTGGACAGCTTTTGTAATTTATCCGAACTTCATTTACTTGATGCATCAGTGTATGTTATGGAAACATGACAACGAATATCGTAGTCCTTTTCCTTACGGTTTCGTACAGTTACAAAGCACACCCGATTGGATCCAATGCCTCTTCTCTCTTGGAAGACGACGTAGCATAGCTGATCCACTGATCGTCTGCCAGAAACACGCCACTGTTGTTACACTCCTATTAGATCTCGAACCGTCAATATAGTCTAAACAAGCCACTCTGTAATGATAACTGCTTTTAATCCAACTGCTATGCATACTTACATTTGCTTAAAGTTATGTTGGTGTAAGCTTTATTATTATAAGCTTATTAAAAATCAAACAATTTTACTGATGTACTGCGATGAAATATGTTCTGCTTATATTTTATTGAATTTATGGAACAATATCATACATTTTAAAAGAATGGATTTAATGCGAAGTGTTTTTAAGGTTTTGGTTGATGCCTAACCATAAGCTGGATCTGTGTATGTTTTTCAGTCATATTGTCTCAAAGTGAAAGAAATGGACGACGAAGAATACGGCTTTGCTATGGTTCAAGAACCCTTGTATCGCGTGGAAACTGGAAATTATGAGTACCGACTTGTGCTAAGATGTCGACAGGACGCACGTACAAGATTCGCTAAAATGCGTAACGATGTCTTAGTAAAGTTAGAATTGCTAGACAATAAGCATGGTAAGTATAAATTCGGAGATTGAAAATTATTTCCTATTTATTTGAAGCCTTATTAAAATCCATTCTTTTATTTCTTCTTATTGAGTGTTATAAAACTACTTTACATTTGTATGATTAGATTTGGTCATTATGTATATTATCACCAAACATCTATAGGTCAGACAGGCCAACTAGAAAACACCATTTGACGCGTCGGTGGCACAGTGGTTAGGACTCTCGCCGACCATGCACATGGTCCGAGGTTCGATCCCCCGCCGACGCACACCTGATATCTATGGTCGGCCTGCGAAATTCGGGCTACCGATATCGCATGCTGAAAATTCCATACTTGTACTGAAAGTACGGTGTGGAATCAAGCTGTAATAAAAAAAATATATTCGAGTGTTACAGAACACAAAAGACCGTCAGTAGGATTCAGACCCCAAACTATAACTTTGACTTTACCGTAACCCAGCCAGTAGTAAAATCGGTCGCTGATGAGTAGGGTGGGTAAATTGGTGTCCATGGTGAATTCGATTTATACGAGGTATTTTAGTGGTATGCTGCGTTCTATATTTGTCAGTAGTAAAGTCTTCCACAAATATCGTTGTTTTCCATTTGGTTTTGTCTTTTCGATTTGATTTCGTTATACTGAGGTAAGGTTCTATATGTTAGAATTCTACTCAGAATTACTTCAAGACTTTCATTGTAGGAGTCTCTGTATTTATTGTATCAATGGAAGTTGATCAACAATCATTGCTAGCCAAAACTTTGTCATTCTCTATCTTAATGTTGGATATCTCCGATTCACACAAACAGAAAATAGGTGTCACCATTCTCTTAATGTTGTATTAATTAGGGGTCCACTGACCAGTTCTCGCAGTCTTATACATGTAGATAAAGCTGCTGACAAGAAGGCAAAAAGTCTACCTCACAGATAGTGGGCTACACCAAACAGTGTGACTTAAGTAGTATTTATACCATTTTTTACCTCAATGGGCCCGAGGAGCTATTAGTGTCGGTTTTCTTTCGACTTAGCTTAATTATCAGAGTATTAAAACTACTTAGTAAAGTGACCATACAATTTGAGTTGCATGACGGTGGTTATCCCGTTCAGTACTATCTCCAATTCCATGTACAATCAAAACAACATATTGTTTCCTATCTTAAAAATGAATTACGGGATCTCAGAAACATTCTCCTAAATGATAGGTGTACAGGATTATATACATGTAGGTTCTAAACGGAAGAGGAGGCTGCTTAGATGTAAATTTACCAAAATTTCACTGAATGAATGAAGTACAATACGATTCAATAAAAAAGACTGGTGGTAGATAATATCAGAAAAATGTTGAATCTTCCCAAATATATTGGCTTTTTAAAACAGTTAGAGCAAACAGGCCGTGTACTCCAAGGAATAGTTCAAATATTATTTATTTTATTCACTATTTGTGTTTCGAGTGGGACATAGGGTCTCTCTGTTCTCTGTCATCATTTTCCCCTGACTCCATGACTTCCAGCAAGTTTTCACTTCCTGTTCACATGAGTTTTTCAATGTCAATTTTGTACTCTCAAGTAATCACTTCCCATTCGTGTTCCACTCGACAATCGGTCTAGCCTGTGATATCACTCCTAGATCTCCCCAGTGTTGCCTTATCCTTTTCTTTCTGCATTTTTTTTGGATCATATGTTCTTAGTAGATTCATTGTTTGCCAAATTTCGTTTTTAGTTATCCTTTCAGCCGGCCATCTGATCTCTAGTATTGAGCAAAAATGGTAGCTGTTAATGAATGCCTGCAGCAGTCTGTTTGAAATACTTTTCGTGACGCCTGCGCCGAATCTCTGAACCATATATAGGAGCCCTACCTTGATTGTGGCTTTAAGAACTCGGATTGATCTCTTTGTCCTGAGTGCTGTGGATCTCCCTACTAAATTCTAAGTAATGATTGCCTGTCTTGCTTCCCCGATCTGACCCTCTCTGGCTTTGACATCCTGATCTGCACTCTTTGTAGTTGAAAATATTATAGTAGGCGATCATGTTTTGCTTCTATCTTCATTGCAAACACTTCGTCATGCCTTTTGTTGTGAACTACTTGGTATGGTACAATTTCATGGGCTAAACTTTTATAATCCCCTCCCTCAAGTGGAGAGGCAGCATACAGAAACACCCTACTGCTATTACATTTCTATTCACCAGTAGTGAGAATTCGCCGCCGGACCCCAAACATAGTGTCATCGATTTACACTATGGTGGTAATCGCTATCCGAACGAGCTTTATGACATGGTAGGATCTGCAGAAACACTAGTTCCAGTCAGTGTGACTTCTTGAGTTATTGCGATATGCAACCTGATCACCACTTTAAGGTAGCGGCTGTCGATTGAGTTGTCTTAAATCCACGGAATCTCTAGTTTTTCCAGAAGGATGCGTACTACCGATCAGTTCCAAACTAGGACGAAATAAGTGTCCAGCACTCCCTAGTTTCCAATGGTTCTGACTTATATCAATCTGTGATCAAACTTGAAATAAATAAAATCCCTACAAACAAACTCTTGAAAACTGTTTTTTTCAGACGGTTAATGTTCACTGCTAGTAATGCGTCTGATTGTGGCATTTCTGGATGGCTAGTAGGTTAGTCCTGTGAGGTGACCAACTCAGCATTTCTCCTTTTCATCTCTTTGGTAAATAGGTTTCGTCCCTGATGTGTTTCTGGTCTTCGTAGTATCACGAATTCCCTTTCTATCTGTTCCGCTTCAGTTTCCTGTACGTTGTGAGGGCATGCTTTACTTTTTTTAGTACGGTTCTTCACTCCTTTATTCAATGCGTTGTAGGTTTTACTTAGCTTCTTTCGCTGTTCATCTCTACACTTATCTTTTGCTTCACCATCCTTCTTTCCCCTATGAGCTTCCAGATATCCTTGATGAATCATTCCTTATCTGACTGACTGACGGACTGGTTTCAACATAAAACTTTGCACCCATGTGCAGCAGTTCGAGTCGCCACACTTCACATAGCACACAAAGCAAGAGAATAGAGTAAAAGGAGATTCAAAACAGAGATAATGAACAAAGAATCATTCCTTGTATTACCTCTTCTCCCCTAAGATGGTTGTGCGTATTTACCACATCGCTTTCAGAGAATTCCAGTGTTCTTCCATTGTGAGCAAAATTTATTTTGATAAATTCTCACAGTGTTATATAGTAATATTTACTGATGACGTTTCGAGCACAATTTATTGCCCATAATCATATCAAGTGTTCTCCCATTCAAGTTTCCTTGGTGATGGTGCTTACTGTCTCTAACTCTTTGGTAACTAGAGTGAAGCACTCCTTTTCATGCGTGCCGAACTTTAATTGTGGTTTATCCCCAGCCTTTTCGGAGGCCTTCAACTTGATGTTAAAGGCTCCCCATATGAGATAGAGATCTGAACCTATGTCTATTCCGCTTCTCCATCTTGTGTTCAGTAAGTTGCCTCTCCACTTTTATGAGATTGAGAGGAAGTCTATCTGATGTTTTGTGTGTATCGTTGTACTTGTACACGCTATCTCTATTAACCAAATTATTAAAGGTGCAGAAATTTGCAGCGTTCTCCATTCTTATTCATTTCACTGGGCACCTCTCTGCACACGATGAGTTCTCTTCCTGTGTTTTGTGCTCCCAGTTCGGCATTTATTTTGCCCATTAGAATGGTGCTGTCATCGTCTTGAAGGCGTCTTTTCGATTACTACTTGTAATCGTCTGTAAAAGTCCTCTTGGTCTGCCTTGTTTGTAAGTGTGTATTACCGCATAATGTTAACTCCTCTTCCTCCTCTTCTTGAGTCGAATTTTGCTGCTATGATACTGGCGGGAGTGGTCCATGGTGCGTGAGCATCTTCAGTGCTGTTTGCAATAACACGGTAGCCACACCCTTAGTGGGTTCGTGGTTGTCTTCTGGATGACTGGAGTAGATTACTAACTCTTCAGTTAACGATTGGAAGAGTTCACTTCTATCTCATCTGCCCTAAGAAATTCATAACACTTCCACATTATATCCTACTCTTCCTGCAATCTGAGTACTGTATCAGTATGGTGTGAACGTTGCATGTCACCAATAATTACTTTATTTTACATCGTAAAAAAAACTTATAGGCCGACTGCCTTCTTAAAAACTTCCACTGGACGGCGTTACCTGTACTTGAATTGTTTAGTCTTTTCGATTCCTGTGAGGCGTAAGTTTATTTATGTGTTCTGAAGTTTCCTTATTAATTGAAGTGAGCCTCATGCCCAAACTTCCCTCTTTTTGTGGCTTGAAACTGGCTGGTAAGGCAAGTGATGTTAACAATTTAGCTAGATTCTCTAAAATTTTCTTGTGTCAATTCGTAGCGAGAATAAAACGTTGTATAGTGAACTGTTTCTGGGAAGATTTAATGAAGATTCGTCAAATAGTTTCAGGTTTTGAAGTCAAATGTTATTCCTTCCGTTTAGTATCAGTCACTAATTTCTCCATTTCTCGAAAACGGAGAGAAATCCTAACAGTCATTTGTCGTCTAACTCGAGCCTATAAAAGACAAACTCGAAAAACATAGATGAGATTCCATCCTCTTCATTGGTGTGCCAACCAAGTAGTCAATTTCCAAGTATTGGTTTTGCAGGGATCTTTTTGTTTGATTGCTTGGAGGATTTCACCATGAGCTGACATCAGTTAGAGAACCAATGGAAAACCAACAGGGAGTACTGGAAAGCTGTTTCGTCCTATTATGGGGCTCTTAAGCAGTATGCACCCGCCAGGGTTCCAAACTAGGACGAAACAGCTGTCCAGTACTTCCTGTTGGTTTTCCAATGGTTCTCTAACTGATATCAGCTCATGATGAAATCCTCCGACCAACCAAATAGTCGTTTCAGTTGGATGTGTATATACTAATTTTTGTTGCGGTAATAATAATAATTATTATTATAATCGTTTAGACATACCAATTGATGTAACATTTCTTATCTTTCCTTCATTAGTACAAGATATTGTATTTCAATTGCAACGTTTCATCGATGCGATGGCCACCTACCATGATCAGTGCTATGGTGTTATGAAACAAATAAAAATATTCCCACTCGAAGTGGATTTAGCGAGGGATGCATTTGCTTACAACCTGGGTGTCTTCAATACAGGTGAGGATGAAGGTGACAACGGCAGTGATGAGGATGGAGGTAATACTGTATCAGCGGAAGAAAATGCTGGTAATAATAATAAGTACAGTCAGCTGGCTGATGATGTTAAATTGATAGACTTAGCAGGCTTAAGTACAAAACGTCAATTTTCTGACAGTCAAGATGACGAAGTACTTGATATGAACAACTGGAACTCCGTATCGTCTACCTGGAGTTCTTGTACAGCCGATGATAAGTCAAATAAACAGGAAACCGTTACTGACTTGCTTTGTTTCGACTGACTTCCTACCTTTCACCCTAACATGTACATATATTATGGATGTTTGTATTATTTACAGGGAATTATACTGTGATGTTTGAGTTAAATCCACCAAAATTGTGATGTGATCATGTGATATTTTCTCTGAAAATCTCCATTCCATGACATTATATACTTTTCATTTGTGCTTGTCTGATTTTCGTCTTGTGATGTCTTATATCTTTGCTTACTTTTTTTACGTAATGGACCGTGCTTCTTAAGAAAACTACTTCTTCACTGCATACTCTGGTTCTCGTTAAACTGATGGGACTCATGTGGAAAATGATCATTTCCTTCCGTCTTTCTGTATGCTTATTTCGACAGGTTCGAATGCTTAAATATGGTTGAAAGTAGTATGAGCATTATTGTTGACTGTCTTCTCCCACCGATATGTTAATATGTTGACAGATAACGTGAAGTAACAATTAGCTGCAGCTATCAATCTTTCTAGTGGAATCATTCGACTAGCTGATTAAGAAATCATACGATCTCCAGTCTCCAAAACTAACCTTACAGCTACTTAAAACGATGAAAAGCGAAATTTCCTTTAGTGTTCATGGACAGCAAGTCTTTATGCGAACAATGAAATGAATTGGATTTTTAAAGTAAAAAAAGTCATGGATTTATATACACAAGTCAACACATCCATGTGTTAAAGCCAGTCACAGCGATGAGCTCGAAAATGACTAGCATGTTCAACAACCTCAGAGAAAGATGTGACCTTAATAACTTCACTGCACATTGTTATTCATGACGGTTTATAAGGTACAGCAAGGGAATACGTTTATGTAGCATATGGTGACTAACTTAATCCGGTGTATGCAGATTCGAAGATCAAGTGTAGCTCTGGGACAATAAATCCGACGGCAAAAGGCAGTCGATCAACAAACATTCACCGTACAGTAGGTTCTTGAACGGTCAAATATGTGTCAGTATACGACGGCTGTCGTCATAACTGGTCTAGAGGTGTTTTTTACCAGAGTGCTGGAGAGATGTGCCACGCTAATCGAATCATTCTGGTCGAAGACATAGGGAGTTGCGATCCGAAGCTGCAACAACTATTAATGTCTACTAGGGACGTTTATTCACACAACCTTAATTTGATTTTTGAGGAGGTGGATGATCGACTCAGGAAGTGATCTACTGCCGAAAAGGAACTCAGGGACACCCAATAATACTGTTGATATTTTCGTTCTCGTTTAATGCATCAATAAGTGGAGCTATCCACTGATTCACATTTTGATACCAGTAACATACAAGCTAACTGGTTTCATCATAGTATGTAATTTTATTATCCAGCTGTCTGAAGTTAGTTAAGTGGAGTGTGTTCTCAGCCGGTGTAGTATGTTGGAAGTCGAGTGTATGAAGCAATACGCCATAGCTACATATTTGGGAAGTCACCCAAAATCGTTCACAGTAGCATGAATAAATTCATTCCTAATGGTCTTCGAAGTTTAAATTCTGATTTAGTTATTCTATCCCATTCATGCTTGTCGATTACAATGATAAATATTCCTGCATGTTCGCTCTGCTCTCTGCAATCATCTCAGTTCCGATTTCATATCGGTAGTTTGTATTTTGTTGGCAATCATTAATGGATCACAATATCTGACCAGATAATTCCATTAAGGAGCAGAGTTTTCAGTGTACAACTTCTTAGTTGATGAGTCACACCTCCAGTGTTAGAGGAGGCATTTATCCCACTGTCATCTTATCACATTTCAGTATTTCCAGTCTTTGGAACCACAGAGCTGTCGCCGTAGTGCTGCCTAGTGTTTACCTTTCTCCACTCAAATAGGTTATATAGGTATCAGCTGCTGATTGCATGGGTGCATACAAGGCTCTGGTTCCTTCGGGAACGCTCGTCTGAATTGTGATCATGCCAGTGTGTGCTAGGTTTATCTTGCGACTTTGAGGTGATGATAAACGTTGTGCTTAACCAGTAGGTGTAAGCAGATTGCACACTGTATAACAGCCAATTATCAAATCGTGCTATACTCAAGCCTAACCACTAACCTTCCGAATAGTACAGGTGAATAATGTTGACTGGATTTACAAAACAGCATGAAAATGGTCAACAAAGCCACTTGCAGCTTAGAAGATCGTATCGCTAAAATCGCTGGGTTTCTGTGAATTCCTCGCAACTTCCCAACGCTCTTCTGTCCATTCAGAAGAAAAGTGAGTGCAACAGCCTGACTAAGGCTCTTACGTAGATTGTGATTGTGTAAGCACCACGACACGCGGTGGTCGCAATGTTCGTGTCACATGGAATCATCGGCGATATCCGGTAATTGTTGGAAGCTGTTCCAGCCCACTCGAGCCACCGGCAGATAGACGCATAATGCCAATGAGATTGTTTGTGCGGCAAATAGTACGCCGATTGAAACCCAAGACGCTTGGGACTGTAGGCAGAACTACTTGAGAAGCAATTTAGCTCATCCATACCACCTGAACCTATCATAAATCACAGTGCATACCGATCCAACCATCGAAGGAGAGATCTAAACGGGGCTCCGAGTACTCAAGCACAATGAGGCACCCGGCCCAGATAACTCATCCCGGACTCCTTATGGAGATGATGGTGAGACTCTAATCAGGGAATTGGTTGGATTGTTTTGGAAAGTGAGAATGTTTCATCAATGTGGAATGAAGCTATTATAGTGAATACGTTTGAAAGGTCCTACCTAAATAGGGTATGTGACGATCATTGGGGTATCAGTCTAATACGAGTGGCGTCTAAAATATTGACTTCTGTATTGCTTCTCAGGTTGTGTAACAGGCTTGAAAAGCTGGTTTGCGAAAGCAGGAAGTGTTTCGCTTACGCCTTCGTTACAGTGATCACATGTTCAGTATTCTTCAGTTGCTACAACCCCGTCACATGTAGTGAGGGCTAGTAATCGTTTCATTTCTTGACATTAGGACTATCTTGCATTCGTTTGACAGAACCGCTTTTTGAAATTGTCCGCTAGGAAGAGGTGTGTCTAACATGTTTGTCAACATCATGAAAGCCGCTTACAAAAATACTTCACGTAAATTTAAGGCATACAGCCAGTTATCAGCATTCTCGTAAGCTGACAGTGAGACTATACAGTGTTGCCTTGTTCCACCTTTTTCCCTAACTTTGCAATCGATGAAATTATGTAGAGATCTTTAAAGAATGTGCGTTGTGGTGCAGATCTGCTGCTTGAAGAAAGACTTTTCGACTCTGATTAGGCAGACGATATCGTCTTACTCAGCGTTAACATTCAGACTTCCCAAATCACACTCAATCTGTCGCTGACCAATGTATGCACTTACTGTGTGTGCATGGCTTCGTCTAAGTGTAAAGCATTGTTGCAAGGTTATCAAGAGGCTTACCCGCACTCACGCTTGTAGGTGAACTGTGAGAAGTAGTGGGTAAGTTCAAATATATAGTAGCTTGTGTGAGTGCTGCCAGAGGTATGGTGCATGAGATTTCCAGCCGTGTAGTGAAGGCCAGGATACAAACACCAGACTCGGTCACTTCTAGTGCAGTCAGAACGTTGTCTCAGTAGTCAGAGGGCAGGTCCACAATGCATCACTGCGTTGCAGGCTTGCTCTACGTCTGTGAAACCTGGTTTTTGAGCTGAGGATGTATGACGACTCCATTGTCTCTGTAGAATTGCTTACATTCGGTGGCATCATAATGTTGTAAGTTAATATATGTGTTATTTTGAGGTCCGGCAATGTGTTTATACACGGTGGAGGCCGTCTTTAAATAAGTTGTCATCTACAAACACCGACTTCAGTATAGCTTGGATATGCGCTACGAACGTCACACACCGGCTGTCATAATGTACAGTTTATTGAGGGAAAAGTAAAGAAATGCTTGGCCCATGGTGTGGTTTTGTCGGGTGAAGGATAGTTGTTCTACATTGGCATCGGTTGGTGCATCACGTCTCGCTGGTCAAAATCCGAGAGATTACCGGAATCAGTGACTCCTAACTTCACTAGGTATGAACGAGGATCGTAATTAGTGGCGAACATGCTGCAATTCCGTTTGAAAATAACATGAGTTACTGAACGTCTCTTAAATCCTCTCGATTATTATGTGTGTCTGCTTTTTATAATCTTCTTCATCAATCATTTTGTGTGCTTTCCCTATATTTTGTTCCATTGTTGTTGTGTTTTTTTGTTTGGCGCATCACTTGGTGCCTACATTGTACCAATTTTGCCAAAATAACAATACTAATTATTGGAACTCCAGGTTTCGACACCAAAGTTTTAGGTTCATTAGAACTGTGGCTAAGTTGGCAAGTAGCTAGGAGTTATAGAAATGCCACTTTCAGCCTTCAGCTAAGTATTCTATCGACTGAATCAACTCCATATATGATTAAATAGGCAGGTCGATTTCAGCGATGAGTTTTCAGTAATATAAAACTTCCAATACAGTGATATTACTATACATTTACCAGCACATCTGACTACTGACTTCTTTTCACGTTCATGTTTACTATGCGTATCCTGATTCAGTATGACTTTAGGCCTCGATTTACTACTGGGATGATGTTAGTTGTAAGGTTACACAATGTTTCTTTGAGTTTTGGATGTACAATCCCTGTGGATGTTTATACTGATGAAGAGTTTTATAATTCGTATTTCTTTCAGAAAATGTTCGAAGCATAATCACCGTTGGCTTTGTTTCTTGAGACGTATCAAGCTACTGAGCTGTTGTATGGTCTTTTTAGACCCTAAGGGGAAAGTTATAATGGATCCACTGGACGCAAAACAACTATCTCCCGTCACACAGCGCCACATTATAAGCAAACCACCTTCCCGAGTTTTCCATCCATCTGATATGTAGCAAGCAGTGAACGGTAAGGTAGCCGCTTGGATGATGATACTAGCCACTGGTGCCGATTAGTTTGGGATGACGGAACATGCTGTCACACATCAGAATTGCACACAATGTGCGGCCATGGTATCACGTAATTATAGAGTTGTTGATGATAAAACATATAATTACTTCAAATCCTCAGTTCGAGTAAGTTGTTTCGCATAGGCATAGAAAAACTCATACACCGTTTGGTTTCGAACCAAATCAATGAAATTCAGCGTACGACTACTATTGCTCCATAAATAACAGACTCGTATATACTGCCTTGACTTACTTTACATAATTGGAAATGCCGTCTATCAACAGAATATACTACTTTATTTTCTAGTTCCATTTGAACTCCTATTGAGGCTTACAATGTATATAATCTGTAAGAGACCGAAGTGCAACGACAATACAATATTTTCGGGTGCTAACAAATGGCAGTGCACAGTGAACCAATCGACAAGTGAAATAAGCTCACATTCTACTTCTTAGCAGGAATGCATAATACTATTATGAATTAGCTACCACCTCTAACTAAATAAATCATACTATGCAATGTTAAACTCAAAAACCCGTAACAATAGCTAGTGATTTTCCTAAAAGAAATGATGTCAAACTAGTTTCCGTCTCTGAATTCAAGATTGCCATGTGTGAAACCTACTTGACTTACTCTACTTTGTCTATGGGAAACTTGCGTATTCACGCATTACCTGGAGTTACTAAAAATTATAGGACGCACTCTTAGTAGGAGCATGAAATGTACTAACGCTGCGGTAGACACAGATGTATGAGGAAGTGTGATTTAATGGTTGCTGAAGAACCATCATATATCCTGGTTACTTAGATCCCACAAACCAACTTCTTTCAACAGTGCAATCTCAACAGAACTCTGCACCTAACGTGAACCAATTAAAAACACGCATTAAAACCTGGACACATTTAACTGCTACTTTCACTAAACTTCAACTGACACTAAATTTCATTACAGCGAAGTGCTGTGGAAAACAAATGCCCATCAGCTGATAGTTCACATTACTTTTCGGCCCGGAGATTGCCACAAGAGCTCGTTGTGATCTCCTTAGCATGCTATTCACCAAATCTCCGCTTTCCTTATATGCTACTGCTGAGTTCAATTTATATGATGCCCAAATATAATGCGAATGTTCAATGTGATAAACGCCATCTACATGCTTAATTCCCATGTCTTTTTCCGTTGATTAAGAAAGCTTCCTGTTGTTGTATACACACAATTGTTTTATACCATCCCACTCTCGCTTTACATATTACTCTTGAGCACCATGCAATAAGAATGAGCGTGTACTAGGAGCATTTATAAATATGATGAGCAACAGTTGTAGAACAACAACTAGAGCCAGAAACAACCCTAGTTTCCTAGGAAAAACGATTAGTGGTATCCAGTGTTGTACGACTAACGAAGCATTACCTCGCGATGGCCAATGGCGGTATAAGGAGACCTACAGTAGGTTAACAAAATACAAAGATAAGAATCACAAATACATCGTCACACTTCTCAACAAATCAAGACGGGAAAGGTTTTCCCTTAATAATTGTCAACCGACAAATGCCAGCCTGCTCCTACCATGTACGAATATAAGAAAATCAATCAGGAAATAATATATTAAACATTTTCTATGAGAACTAAGATACAATCGTCTATGTACGAATAGCTTATCTACTTAGCTGAAGTCCCAGTGCATTACTGGAGCGGACCTCTTGAGAATAGCCGTATTTCCCAGAGATAAAGGTTTTCTTTCATCAATGAAACGGTCAGGAGGCAGGCCAAAATATGCAACACCGATTTCCGGAGCCAACTCATCTAAGGGGGGCAGCTTATTCAAGGCTGCTTTCTACAACCAATTAATATTACGTAGGATTACTTACCATCTTTTCGGCACTCGTTTTCATCCTCATACAGGCTTCCGAATGACGTTTGGCGTTCTCCAGCTTGAAGAGAATATTGCGGTTATAAGGACGCTTACCATAATTTTCCCCTGGCTCTGCACTTTCGAGATAGCACCAGATGTGTCTTTTGGGTACTCAACGGAAAGACTCGCATATTGTTTTTTAAACTTTTCTACCAAACCTGCGACAGGAACGACGCTGGCATAATGGTCCCAATTCAGAGGCGGTAAGGACTCAGGAAGTGACGATATCCTGAAATAAGACTGATCAGTCATGTCAAATGCTGTACTTGGAAACAAGGTTATCTGTCTTTGTTTTTAACTCTCGATACTGATCCAACTGGTGTTTTGGGCACTTAGCATAAAACTCAGCCCAATTAACTGTCGAAACTGCTACCCGCTTGGAGGTCATTTCTTAAAATGTGTTGTGCCTTCAAGGTTACCATTAGCTTAAACACTAAAACTGAGTCTATTGCGCTAAACAAGTACTAAAACTAGTAACAGAAAATGAGGGATTTATTATCGTTCAAAACGTGGATGAAATCAAATAGCACGCCTTAACGAGCTCATAGCCCATATAATTTTTCACCATGTATTATAAATTAGTCGACATCACCTCATTTCTCCACACTCAGAGATGACTCTGTTTCTTCCTGCATTTACTGTATCCGGTAACTAATTATATTTAACCTGCTGTCTGAGAGAGGGAGATTATCATAAGTATTGTCTCCTCGAGTTCCTAGAGGGACATATTGCTTCAGCCAAACATCTCCATTGCGTTCTGTTCTCTGCTAACGTTTTCGCCTTTCTTCACGTCTTCCCACATGCTTTCATCGCCTCTTCACATGACCTTCTTCATGTCACCTTCACACTGACGACCAACTTCCAGCCCCCCATTCCGGTTCCACTCGTGCAATGGCCTGGCATGTGATGTCATTTGGTGGTTTCCTCAGAGCATGGTCAATCAAACACCATTTCTTCCTGATTATTTGTTGCACAATCGGTTCCTGCTGGGTTGGTTCGCTCCCAGAGATCCCTGATGCTGATTTTTCTGGCCACCTGATCTTGAGTAATGAGCAAAGACAGCTGTTGATGAAGGTCTGTAGTTTGTATGAGGTGCTCTTCATGACGCGCCAAGTCTCTGATCCATAAAGTAGCATTGACTTCATATTGGAGTTGACAATCCGGATGCTATTTTTCATGCTGAGTGTTGTTGACATGCCCATGGACTTGAGAGTAGTGAAAGCTTGCCTTGCTTTCCCGATCATCGCCTTGATAGCTTCGTCAATTCCACTTGTAGTTGAAACGATGCTTCCTAGGCAGGTAAAGGAAGTTGCTTCTTTTAGATTTCTGCCACTTATACTGATTGCTGTCTATTGTTGTTGCTGTTGCTGTTGGACATCACCTCTGTTTTCTCCATGTTCACCTGAAGTCCTATCTTCTCTGGATGCTTCTTGCGCCAACTTGCTACTTTCCACTTACACACCTTCCAGTTTGTGGGAAATCAGACATATATCATCGGCGAAGTCCAAATCCCCCAAGTTTTTTGTGTTTTTTGTTTTTTCCTTCACGTTCCGCAGTGGAACATAGGGCTTCAAGCTAATCTCTTGAAGTTTCTGTAGCAGTGCTTATTTTACAGGATGATGTTGCCAGTGTCTCTTTTGCTCCACCTCTTTGGTGACTGATTCGATATTTCTGTCCTTCATCCAACCTTCCTCAGTTGGAGAAATTCATGAACCTATTTATAATAATAATAATTTATATTTTCATATAAACATAAATTTGCATGAAAATGCATGACATTTTTACAGGCACGATCAAGTATGATATAATGACAAATAGTAGATTGTCTACAAGTTAATAATGTTTGAACAGCTAAATATTTGATATATATATAAATACACTCATTGTCTGACCCATGTCGTATCATTATTGTATTAAACAGTAGTCCTCCAGGTTGCGCAAGAAAATCGACTTCGTTTCGTTTTCAACTCGTAGTTGTAGGCATACGATAGCCAACCAATATTGAGGTAAGTACAACGTTTACAAGGTATGGTAAGATCATCACTTTATAAAAAAGTTCAAATTGTTGAATTTTTAGAGGTTGCAGATATCGACGTTCGCGAGTTGTACGGATTATACTAGCGCAGGATCTTATACCAACAACTTCTATAGTGTTCGTTCTTCGAGTACCAAAGATAAAGCAAAAGGCCAGATTTTGTCGTCCAAAGTACGTAGTATATTTCGGGACAAAATTGCGGGTAGAGATGAATGCTTAGCTAGCTAGTAATCGTGTGCGCACGTGACACGACGGAGTACCAAATGGCGGGGATGCTTGACCGGAAGCCTTCAGCTAGACAAGTCGACTTAAACAGTGATGGTCAGCATCCAATGTTGAGTGATGATTGCTGTGGTTAATAATTTTGGGGAATTATTTACCGCTACAGCTCACTCCCCCCCTAGTGGGTTTGTGAGGACCCTAAGACATGACCAGCCGGAAGTAAAAAAATCTCGGTGGTTCCCTGATGGGTGAAAAAAATCTTCCGAGCGGCTTGATGGAGAGCCTGCTGGTCTGTCTGCCTATGCTAATAGGGTGTCTGTACATAGCTTCCTCGATGTTGTTCGTTGGATCCCGTGCTTCGTTTGTTTCCTGTCCAGTGCCCGTTGCACCTGGAAAGGAAAACAAGAATGCTGAGAACCTTGTCAAGGAAAATGTACCAAATAAGCGTCTTTTTTTCCAAAAAATGACGTGCATCTACTATACAGTAAAATAATGTAAAGTTCAAAATATCGGGGGAAAAAATATACATCTAATTTAATTTTTTTAAGTGCATGTTTAATGTACGGTTATATGAGAAAAATCGTTTACTTGTGTTAAGTGATGCAACATAAAAAACAATTGATGTCACTCAGTTATGTGAAATAGGTGTGAAGGTATTCTGGGAATCTAACGTGACGTCCAGAACGCGTTTTCTTAGAGTGATCGACCGAAATTTCGGTGGCTTTCGCCGTGCTAGGGAGTTCTTCGAAGACTAAAGGAGATTCTATTACTTGTGGATTATGGGGTGCGTTTAGCTCTAGGCTAATAGGATTACCTTCCAAGTAAGCCGGTTTCAGACGGTCGATACTGACGGTGTCTTCGCGGCCTTTTTGTCTAAAACAAAGAATTTATCCGTACGTTTAATTACTTTATATGGTCCGTCATACGGGGGTTCTAGAGGGCGACGCACAGAGTCGCGACGAACAAATACGTGTGAAGAAGTTTTTAAACAGGGGTGAACAAAGACATCAATGGACTGTGGTCGGAGAGGAGCAGGTTTAACTGAACGCATTGCGTTTGTAAGCCTACTGACGTATGAGTTGTGGTCTACCGCTGGTGGGAAGCTCGAGGGAGAGACAAACTCACCTGGTAGTCGTAGTGTTGTGCCATATACTAGCTCAGCGGTAGTACAACCAGCATCGGTTTTTAAAGCGTTTCGTATCCCTAGGAGAATTAACGGAAGGGATTCAGTCCAGTGGGTGTTATTTGCAGCTGATAAACCAGCTTTCAACTGTCTGTGCAAACGCTCTACCATACCATTAGCTTGAGGATGGTAGGCTGTTGTTCGAAAACGCATGCAACCAAGAATTTTCGTTAGAGCGAAGAATAAGCCGCTTTCGAATTGCCGCCCGCGATCAGTTGTTATGGAAGATGGGCATCCAAAGTTTGCGATCGATCTTTCTACAAAGACGCGTGCGACAGTTTCAGCAGATATATCCTTGATGGGTACTGCTTCAGGCCATCGTGTGAAGCGATCGATGCAGGTTAACATATCCATGAGATTCTGGAAGGGGGCCAACTAAATCTATATGGACGTGTTCGAAACGGGCATCGGGGATAAGAAAAGTGCCAAGGGGGCTTTCGGTGTGTCTTATTACCTTGCAATTTTGGCAATCTAAGCACGTCTGCGCCCATTCCCTTACTTCCTCATTAATACCAGGCCAACAAAACCGACTAGTCACGAGTTTGACGGTAGTTCGAATACCTGGGTGTGATAAGCCATGCAACGTATTGAAGACGTTACGGCGATAACTTTTAGGCACGATAGGGCGAGGAGTACTAGTGGAAATGTCACAGAGAATAGTATCCTTTCCTATACCTAAGGGTTTCTCGGCTAATTGTAGAGTTGTTTTCGACAACTCATGCTGAAGCTCGGTATCTTCTTTTTGAAGACGAGCCAGTTTTGCAAGGTCTATGGCGTCGATTTGGGTGAAGGAACAAATACGCGACAAGGCATCTGCCACAGTGTTGTTCACTCCGGATACATGGCGAATATCTGATGAAAACTGTGAAACGTAATCTAGTTGTCGCGATTCCCTGGGTGAATACTTATCTGAAGTTGAGTTCAGAGAGTACGTCAGAGGTTTGTGGTCAGTGAAAATTATGAATTCACGACCCTCAACTGAATGTCGAAAATGACGTATAGCACAGTACATAGCCAGAAGTTCTCTTCCGAATGTGCTGTACTTCGTTTCAGCTAATTGAAGGCGCCTCGAGAAAAAGGCGAGTGGTTGCCACTCTTTGTTAACTAGTTGTTGCAGAACTGCGCCGATTGCAGTGTCTGATGCATCAGCTGAGATACTTAACGGTGCCGTTGGATCCTGATACATTAGAAGGGTGGCATCCGCAATAGCTTTCTTTACCTGAGTAAAAGCATGTCGACAAGACGCGTCGAGTTCGATAGGCTTGTTATTCCCTCAAAGGAGATCTGTTAGTGGTTGAATCAGAGAAGCACAGTTAGGTATAAATCGTCGGTAATAACTTACCAAGCCGTTAAAAGTGCGAAGACTTTTCACTGTCTTTGGCTCCGGAAAGTCCAGTATCGCTTCGACTTTAGTAGCCAGTGGGCGAATGCCCTGACAGTCAATAGCGTGACCCAGAAAATCGAGCGAGTCAACGCCTATTTGACACTTCTGGATATTGATGGTAACACCATGTTGGCATAACCTTTCAAATGCCAAGTCCAAGTGTCTAAGGTGAGTTTCCTTATCTGGACTGGCAATGAGGCAGTCGTCTAAGTATGCGTATACAAAGTCGAGACCGCGAAATACTTCATCGATAAAGCGTTGGAATGTTTGGGCCGCATTCCGGAGGCCGAATGGCATACGTAGGAATTCGGAAAGTCCGAAGGGTGTGATGATAGCCGTTTTCGGAATATCTTCCGTTGCCATCGGGATTTGGTTATATGCTTTAACCAAGTCGATTTTGGAGAATATAGATGCTCCAGATAACGTTGCCGTCAAATTGCGTATGTGAGGCAAAGGGTAGCAATCAGGGGTTGTTTTGGCGTTCACTCGCCGGTAATCACCAGTGGGTCGCCAATCGTTACTATCCTTTTTCGGTACCACATGCAATGGGGATGCCCATGGACTATTCGATGGCCGAATGATGCCAAGGGTGAGCATATGATCGAATT